TAATTTTTAATTTATTTTTTATAAAAATATTTTTGGTGGTGACAAAATGTCGCCGCCAACAGTAAATTATATCACTTATTTTTAATTTTTAATTTATTTTTTATAAAAATACTTTTGCGCCGCCAAAAGTAAATTATATTACTTATTTTTAATTTTTAATTTATTTTTTATAAAAATACTTTTGCCGCCGTCAAAAGTAAATTATATTAATTATTTTTAATTTATTTTTTATAAAAATACTTTTGGTGGCGACAGTTTATCTCCGCCAAAAGTAAATTATATTAATTATTTTTTAATTTTTAAATTATTTTTTATAAAAATGCTATTTATCGCCACCAAAAGTAAATTATATTACTTATTTTTAATTTTTAATTTATTTTTATAAAAATACTTTTGACAGTAAATTATATTACTTATTTTTAATTTTTAATTTATTTTTTATAAAAATATTTTTGGTGGGGACAAAATGTCGCCGCCAAAAGTGAACTTTTAGCGGCGACAAATCATAATCGCCGCTAAAAGTGACTTTTGACAGCAAGTTTGATTTGTCACCGTTAAAAATATAGTTTTGGTGACAACTTTTAGCGATGGCAAATTGTAACCGCCAAAAGTTCACTTTTGGCAGCGACTTTGATTTGTCGCCCCAAAAGTCCTGCTAAAAGTTGTCGTCAAAAGTCATATTTTTTGTAGTGTAAGCAATCTAAATCAGTGTCCAGCCTTCTTGGCTTTCTGCTTTTTGACGATGAACACCTTAATCTTCCTGGTGTGCATCGTCCTTCTCGATCTCAGTTTGCGTGGCCACCGTGGATTCTTGTTTCTGCTTCGATTGCTCATTTTGTTTCTCACATTCAGTTACTGTGGCTTGCTCACGGCTTTCTCCTATCATGCTGTCTATGTTTCCATCCCACTTGCTATTTTCTCTTTCGTCTACTTCATCACGGTAATATTCAGTGAACCTTGGCTAAGAGCGATGATATGGCGAATCTTGAAGAATCCCAGGCAGTGCGGACCCGAGTTTAACAAGTGCTTCAAGTATTAAGATACGTACGGCAATCAAAATGGTGACCCGGAGTTCAATCTAGTGTTTTGTATATGACCGTGAAGGTCATACGGTCACTCAAAATACAAAAGTAACATGGTTTGATTTGTTAAACCGTTTTGTATTGTTTTGAACTGGACTTGTTTGATGATAGGCTTAGAATTAACCCGGAACAATTGAACCGTACTTTGATTAGTTTGTTAGTTTACTTTTATTTTAGTAATAAGAATTTTATTCAATTTAGAAGGATTAATATCAACTTTCTTATGTGTTGTGTTATAGTAAAATTTTGATAGCATGGTTTATTATTGATTTTTTTTTTGGGTGCAAGGTTTGTTATTCACTTTATATTAATTAAACTGTATCATCTGCAATGTGGATAACAAATAAGGTAAACAAAAAATATATATGAAAAAAATTAGAAATTAAAAATTAATATGGCATGACTGAACAACCCTGAACTAAGAATGACATTGTTAGTATTTTAAGTCCTTTATTTATATATGCGTGTAAATATTATTTTTATTTAATTATTATATTATCATTTCGACTAGTGGTACAACTAATTAAATTATGAGAACCATAATCCGCTAACTTTTTTAATCTATCATCCGATCTAGTTTTCAAAATATTGGTTGAATCCCTATTATATGCATGTATATATGCATGTATGTTTGTAGGAGCAAGCAGTATTTTTTATTAAATATATTACGAGTTATTTAAATGTCTATAGATTATCTATATGTTGAATGAGAATTAATGAAGCTAGCTTATCTGGTAAAAATGAAGTTTTATTGATGGGTAAAATTCATTGAAATGTGAGCTTGACGTTACATAGTAAACCAAGATTAAGAGAATAAATTAATGAGTGGTTCCACTCATATACTATTTATTTTTTGGTACAATTCTGTTAAATGTAACATTGATACGTGATTATCATCCACATTTTGACATCTTAACATTTCCCCCCCTAAATTTCAAGGCTTTCCATTGTCTGGAGGTCGAGTAAATAAATTAACTCTATATATATGGAACAGAGTTTGAATACATTTTTTTTTTCTATCATTGCATATTTTTTATATTTTATTACTGGGAGAGAGGGTTTAGTTGTATTGCATCACAAAATTTTCATTCTTTGTCGTCTTTCATTGGTACTATGTAGTACTACGTGTAGACGGAGTTTGCTTTCTTCCTTTGCAGTGTCCAATGCAAATTTAACAATTTAGATTTGATAATTTTAAAAATTATAAATTTAATTTAAATACTTCAAATTTACAGTAAATAACGTAGTAGTAGAAAGAAATTCAACCTGTACATAATCTCTTAGGGGGGAATTTCGGACCATATTTTGCTAACAAACAGTGATAGCTCCGAACTTTGGTGGAAGATTCGGCATTTAATTATGAATTTTTATTCTTTGGCCAACAGTATTTAATTGTGATCCATGGTCATATATTTCTACATTGAAAACGATAGCACGCGTCAATGTTGACCCTATAGCACGAAACTCATGGATGGATGGGTAGAGAAAAAGGATATATTTAGATTTTTTTTTTTTTAAGTTGACGCCACTAAGAGCGTATTAATTGTTCATTCTTAATTTATGTATATAAAGTACACGGGTTGAACTTTAAAAACTTTCGAGACCTCACCTTCAATTCAGAACAAGTAGTAACATTTAGCTAGACTGGAGAAAAGAAAAATGAGGAGATGCTGCAATAATTGCTCACATTTTTTTCTAGCTGTAGTTTATTACCCCTTTCATTAAAAAATATAAATATTTTTAATCGAATTCTATCACTTAATAAAATAGTTACTTATTTTCAAACTAATCATATTTTTTCATCTTTATTTCTATTTAAAAGTGTGTTTTACTCTAAAATAAATAAAAAGTGATTTATTCAATATGAATATTTTAAAAAAAAAGGACAATGATTATATCTTAAAAAATAAAAAATATTTTATATTTTTTAACATTTAACTGTCGAGAAATATCTTACATTTTTAAATAGAAAGAGTATTAATTTTGATTTTTACAATATTGATTTATATGTATCTTTATATTCATTAAGCAATAATTCTATATTCATTAGGCTTTATTTGCATTACTCCATCCATATCAAAATATAAATCATTTTATAGAAACATCACTTTGTTCAAAATGTAAGACATTGGATAAATTTTATACTTTTTACCATTACCCTTACTTTTTTTACTTTTATTTTTTGTAAATACTTCATATTTATAAACTATACACGTTTTACTAGGAAAATTTAAGGACATAAATATAAAAATGTGGACATTTTTAGAAAAATAAGATTTCACCTAATATTTTTTATAAAACATGAATTAGCTATCAACTGGCATATATTGTAGTTTGGAAAGAGTATTATATATGCTATACTATTTCTTGTGTATATATTTCATAAGTTGCTCCATCAATGGATACTTCCTTTGTTAAAAAAATATAAGGTATTTTTTAAGGAATTTAATGTTAAAAAATATAAGGCATTTTTAATCTTTTGAGGTATAATCATTATTTTTTTAAAAGTGTTCCTATTAATAATGACTTTATATTTATTATAGGGTATTTAATAGAGATAAATATGAAAAAATAAAGTTAGCTAAAAGTAGGTAATTAATTTATTAGGAGATGAGATTCGGTTAAAAATACATTATATTTTTTAACGGATGGAGTGCTTTTAATTAATTACATCCTCCAATGAATTAATTGATTGTCTTTAAAATTAAATACTCTTTCATATTTATTCATATTTAATATTTAAGTTTTTTTAACTAGAAAATCTTATTAATTAGACCCTACTTAAGAGCATTTTAAAAAAATTATTAATTGCATTTTGAAAGACTTAAAATTGTTTATACTTTTAAATATCTTACTTTAAAAAATACCTTTCTATCTTTTAATGGAAAAATACGCCATCAGTCTCTGCTGACTTTTTGGGTTTATTATCCCATCTGGTTTTTAAAGATATTGAATGAATCCCGATCCCTTGTATATAGGAAGCTGTGGCCTATGTTTTCTTAAATAAATTACAAGTTAAATTTCTTATAGATTATTTATGGGTTCTCATTTGTTGAAGCAAAAATGAAGTTTTATTGAGGGATAAAATTCATTGAAAAATTATCATAGACGTGATAGTATGTGAGCTTGACATTAGTGTTTTAAGACCCGGATGGTTAAACTAGTTGGATTGCCACCTAGATATAAAAATTAATTGGTTTGACTCATTAACCCATTATATGGGTTGGACTGCTTTGCATAGTAAATAGTTTTAACAAAGGGAAAATTTTAGTCAGGACCCTTGAACCCACCATAATGAAAAAGAAGACCCCTAAATTTTTGATATCTCACTGCAAGCCTTGGGTCCTCATTTGATATTAATTTGGAAAGCTAAACGACAAAGTTGCCCTCATTGAAGAGAGAAAAAAGAAAGAAAGCTAAAAGCTTGTGGTCGAGGAGACAAAGCACAAGAATGCTCTATTCCTTTCATTGCCCTTCTCTCTCACCTTTTCCAAGATCACGACTACTTGGTAAGTTAACTAAAGTGTATTATGATTCTGTTCTTCAATCTCTACAAAGGTATAGTTGATTTGGGGTTGCGAATACGAGTAGATATAATTAGGTAAGACTTGTCTTTCTCTCCTTCCAGCTTGTCTTTAGTAGATAATCACAGAGGGAAATTGGTTTTTGTGATGATATGGTGACTAACAGGTTGAGATGATCTCAATTTTCCATTGGTAAGTTCTTGACATAGTGGTAAGAACGAGACAGAGCCATTTATTATAGGAGATATTTTCATATCGGGATGTTACCCATTTACTCTACATATCATATTAATTTCCTTACCTGACTTGTTCTATATGACACTAGCTTTAAAAAATTCCAAAGTATATGTTGGTTTCATGTTTCAATTACTTGTTTTGAACCTTACTTTGTGGTTCATTTCCTTACAACATGAAGTTTATGATTAGCCTTTATTGCTAGATGAAGAACCGTCTCTCTCTTTGCCGTCACTTCTGCTATACACTCAGGACAATGCTTGATTAACTCTTCCATCACATCAACCCTACCTCTGAAAACTGCATAATGTAAAGCAGTCCAGCCATCTTCATCGTTCACAAGGCACTGGTTCACTTCGTTACTGTCAAGCCTCGCACTTAAGAGCTCCTTCACTATATCAACATGCTCAGCTACTGAAGCCATGTGCAACGGGATCAAACCTTTCTGGTTGGGCAGAGTGGCTAATGAAGGCACTCGAGTAATAATCTCTCTCACAAATTGTACTTGATCTGCTAGTGTCGCCACATGAAGAGGTGATTCTGCAAAATGGGCTAAGCACGCTTTCTTCAGTATCTGAGGATCCTCCTTCAATAGTTTGTTCAACATGGTAACATTTCCAACTCTCGCAGCTTCCTTCAACCTCCGATCCATGATTATGTGATAATACTATTTTGTTTGATGATAGTAGTTATTCATATATAGATATATACTTGCGCGATCGATAATTTAATTAGGGGCTTTTCTGTCCATATATACATTGCTCCGAGACTAATCTATGTGTCCGTCGTACGATCACATACCTTACCCCAAGATTAATTCATCTCTTGCATTCGAATATATATTGGGTTTTTTTTTTTTTGGGGGGTGTTCATAAGCCACTTGCGTTTCTTGGTAATTTGGGGACTATTGTCTTTTCGTACATATCAATTTAATTTATTCCTTGCTTCAAGGTCAATCCATACATATTAATTTAATTTATTCGTTGCTCCAATATTAATTCATTGATTGTAATTTTTCAGTCCTTTTCCCCTTTTGTCCAGCTGCAATATATATACCGTCCAACGTGTTATGTGTGTGATTTATCAAAAGAACCCTTTCCATGTCGACTCCAGCATGGAATGTGCAGCCTCCACCAGTTGCCGAGTACTACGACTTATATTGGACCCCACAATCTACATGGGTCCTCCTTCATAAATTTGTATATCTTAAAAGTTAATTTGTAAATAATGTGTGAAGATTTGTAAATAATAATAATAATAATAATAATAATATTTGAACTATCAAATATAAAAGCATTAATGTTTTAATATGATGTTATTTTAAAAAATTAATATTTTAAATTACTTATCAATGTTGGTGCTAAAATGGCAATCCAATAATTTTATATGGGTAAGAAATAACATTAGTTTATTGATTTTTGTTTATAATTTAAGGGACTTAATCACTATTAATTTTCTTATAAGCCTTTTTTGTAAATTTTTTAGCCCTTTTTTATTTTATTTTTTTGTTAACTAGCAGTCAAATTAATGGATATTTAATGAAGGGATAATATTGCTCCATTTTTTAATATATGAAGGGTAATATTGTGCTACACTTAATTCCGGGGTGCCCAATATATCTAGAAAAAGGTTTAGGAAAAAATTAACACTTTAACACTAAAATATAAAAACTACTACTATTATGAAAGGAAAAGTTATTTGAAAAAAAAGAAATAAATAAGATAAAATATTTTTTATTGTATTTTATAGATGGTGCAGTGGCTTTGAAAACAAATATTACATATATATATATATATGGGTGAGAGCTTTCTCATTTTTTTCCCATTTAATTTTATGCCAAATCAGCCCTTAATATAGATAATGTTGGAATAAAATTCAACATATAGGATAACACGTAAATATTAAAAATGCGTAATCATTATTATAATTTAGCCGAAATAAAATGATCTATTTGAAAATGTTTTAAAGCTTATGAGATCTAATTATTATTATGGAATTATTATGCAGAGAATAGAGTAATATTTATAATTTGTTGATTGGTCAGATTGCCAATATCACAAACTTAAGTCATTTCATAGCGACAAATCGTTTCTTGATGCCCCTTCAACCACAGAACCATAAAAAAGTTTTTGATGTTTACAAATTAAGATCACAAGAATAATGTCACCCCCAATACTCATGGTGTGACTGGCACAGAATATAAGATAGACTTATATTCCATAAACCTTAATTAACTAAAAAATTAATTCAAGATAACAATATATAATTTATGTCTAAATTTAAAATTTATAAAGTTTTAACCATTTTGTAGAAATTTCAACAAAGCCTCCATTGTAATTAAGAATCACAAGTAACTAACACATGATTCTCCAATTCCAATAACAATTGTGTCCCTCAGTGTTCAGCAAAAGGTGTAGAGTCAACTTCAATATCTGAAACCAAAGAAAAATTTTCAGTGAGCAGTGTCTTAATTTACAGTTGAAGAAAATAATAAAAAGTAAATCAAAGAGTTAGTTATAAATTTACTAAAATAATTATTTGAAATTAACATAAACCATGAAAACATAAATACAATTAAAAATTATTAAAATTTTAATTTTTTAACGGGACTTAATCAAAACGATTAACAAGGTAGGCACACATTTCATGAGGATAAATAACCAACAAGCGTAACCACACAGTTCACGAGGATAAGTCACCAACAAGCACAATTTAAAGCTATGAAATAATCAAGCATGGCTAGAAGCCATGAAATAAGTGAAGGCACAAAGCTCATGAAACAAGTGTGGGTATGATGCTCATGAATATTCATCCCTCCATTCTATGTACGTTGGCCTACTCATAGGACTAGCACCTCATATAAGTACTTTGCCAACTAGGTGTACAATGATGTGCAAAGGGCTAATAGAATTGTCGTTAGCATCCAGCATTCTAAACTCAGTCCCCCTAATTGAATCAAGCGTGCATTGAATTGAAATATTCATTTAAAGCCATTTCTTTCAAAAATGTAATATTCAGCTATCAAATTTTTTTAATTTCTTTTCATGCACGAATTACCGTATTAACCACCGTTATATAAATTATAAATTATAAAATTTAAATCATAGAAATGCTTAGAATAAATAGTTGATTAATAGTATACCAGATCTAAATATTCATTAACAATAACAAAATTCTTAATGAAAATAATACAAATTATATAATGAATCTATTAATATAAAAGTAAGATAAGAAGAATTGTATAAATTATAAAAATAGATTTAACAAGAATATTTATGCAATGTATAAAGGAATACAATATAAAAAAATTTATAAACATTATGCAAGAAATTATTTGGGATACTACTAGATCACTCACCTAAAAGTTTTTTAATAGTTCTAAAACTTGCTTCACTTTAACTTCTCATTTAGCCATTAATTTTTCAAATAAGTCAATCAAAATTCTAAAAATCACTTGTTTATTCTTTTCTTAATATAAATAAATAAGTGTGTAATATGCTAACTATCAACAATTAACAAGGTTTTTTATCCTAATAAATTTTCTACCTCCTTCAATTTCACTTGTCAATTAATTTTCTCAAACAATTACTAACATTTAAATTAATTCCAACTAACATCCCAACTATACATACCAAGCCAAAAAATTTCTTATCAAATTATTAACTTAACAATAACTCAACAAAAGTAAAAGAAAAAATTTCCCATCTCGTTTATACCTTCCTTAATGCTTAACAAAATGTTACAAACTACCAAGCCTCTTTCGCTATAATTCTCTTTCCAAAAGGTTTCTTGTAACAATAATTTGAACAATTCAAACTTCCCAACATCCACTTAAAGAATAATTGTCTTCTAATAATTGTTTAATTAACAACAATATGTT